GCTGTTTATATAAACTATGCTTGAACTTGATATTTTGTGGTTTTCACATCCTAACTTGCTATGGAAGTTGTAAAATCCTAGAAGACAGTTCCAGTAGTGAATTTAAAAAAACCTAATACAGTAGTTTTTATGCTGTTCCCGAGATTACTATAAAACAGTTAGTTTAACTGGGCTTATAATTTTTTAAGTAATAAATCTTCCAAGGAAGGCACTAAATTTAGATTCTGTTTCCTTGAGTTTGTTTTCTAGAAACCAACAGATGTACAGAGAAAATTATTGAGAAATTACTTTCTAAAATATTGTCAATTTCCTGCATCAATTTTTATTTTAATTTATGGTAAAAAAAAATGGGTTCACATTTACATGTCAGCTTCCTCAGATCTCTTACAGACATGGCAAGAGATAAAAGATGATGGCTTAGTTTTATATTTCTATATATTGAAATGAAGTCAATAACATGTAAATAGAGTTCTTTTTTCTATTAATTTTATGAAATGAATGTGTAAGAAAATTATAGGCAAAGAAATAAGGACATTATTTATAGTCATATTTAGTGTTTATCACAGGGATCATTCTGTTCTTTCAGCATTCACAAAATGACAAGGATGACCCAGCTAAGACCCCTAGCAAGAGTGAAGAGTGTGCCTTAAATAGTCATTTTCTGCAATCAGATTTGTTTCTACCCTGTTTGTCATCACAGAGCCTATATCCAGTAACTGATGGAAGCAGATGCAGAGATCCACAGCCAAGCACTGGGCCCAGCACCAGGAGTCTGGCTGAAGAAAAGAAGTAGGGTTTTTAAACCAGAGGGGTCAAGGTCAAGACAGGGACCTCACAGAGACAGCTGACCTGAGCTTATGGAAGCTTATGGACCCTGGACCACCAATTAGGCATCCTGCATGGGACTGACCTAGGCCCTCTGCATGTGTTTGACAGTTGTGTAGCTTGAGCTGTTTTTAAGGCTCCTAGCAGTGAGATCAATACTGGTCCATGGCACTTAGCTGGCTTCTAAGAACCTGTGTCCCATGCTGGATTCCCTCACCCAGCCTTGATGCAGAGGGAGAAACTGACCGTGCCTCAACTTGATGTGCCATGCTTTCTTTGTTCATGCCCATTGGAGGCCGGCCCTTTCTGAACAGAGATGGAGGAGGAGTGGGTGGGAAGCTGGGAGGGAACAGGAGGAGAGGAGGGAGGAGAAAATGTGGTCAGTAAGTAGAATAAATAAAAATATTAATAAAGTAAAAAATCCACCAGACGATTTAACAAAAATCTAATTTGTTATCTAATACAAAATGGTCAATTCTAAAGTCACATACATACGAACAACACTAAATAAATTCAGCAAGTTATATTTATATAATTATGCTTGTATATATAACACTAATAATTAAAATATGTCATTCTTTGAGAGGTAGTGAGGAAGGTTACACGGGAAGGGTTTGAGAGTGAATAGGGAAGGGAGGAAGTGATGTAATTATATTCTAAATTAAACTTTCTTAAACAAAAAATTAATTTGTCCAGAAAAAATTAAAAAAATTTATTGGATGACTGATTTTCAAAACACATGTCTGATAAAACAAGAGATCTGAAGGAACATGCCAATAAAAACACACAGAAATACAAACACCTTAAAACAATAGAGAAAATAGTTATTTGACCAAGAGCATAGAGAACATGTTAGGAATTTGAATAAAGTGTTTTGTACACTGTGCTAGTGTTTGTCAACTTGGCAGGCAAACTGAGTTACCTGGGAAGAGGGGAACCCAACTGAGGAACCGTCTTTTTTCAATTGACCAGTAGGCAAGACTGTAAGGTTATGTCTTTCCTGCTTTTGTATGTTTGCTTTTTTATTATTGTTATTAAAAATAAAGTTCATTTCATGCCATATATTTTGATCAGGATTTCCCTATCTTATCTCCTCCCGTATCCTCCCTATCTTTCCACCCTTCCAGCTCTATACCTTCTTTCTCTCTCTCTTTAGAAAGCAAAAAGTCAAATACAAAAGAATAAAATAAGAGAAACAAAAAATAAAACAAAAAGCATAAGAAATATACAGACAAAGTCATAAAAATACAAATCAGAAATCATAATACATAAGACAGAAAATCTCTATAAATACCTTTGAATTTCTTTTCTGTTGACAGTCTGCTGCTGGGTATGGGGGTCTGTCTTTTATTTCTTTCTTTATTTATTTTTCTTTTAAAATTTTATTAATATTTTTTACTTTTTTATTTTTACTTAAAAATTTCCACTTCCTCCCCTCTTCCCATTTTCCTCCCCCTCCCCCTTCCCCTCCCTCTCTAGTTCAAAGAGCAGTCAGCATTCCCTGCCCTGTGCAAAGTCCAAGGTCCTCCACCCTCCATCCAGGTCTAGGAAGGTGAGCATCCAAACAGACTAGACTCCTGCAAAGCCAGTATATGCAGTAGGATCAAAACCCAGTGCCATTGTCCTTGGCTTCTCAGTCAGTCCTCCTTGTCCACCACGTTCAGAGTTTTGTTTTGTTTGGTGTGCGTATTTTTATACACTTGTCAAAAGGAAACTTGAGGAAACAGTTTCCTTTGTTAGCAGTTGTCAATTGGAAACAGATTCTAGGTTGAGCTTGGAATCTCTTATCAACTTCACCCTCTCAACGCTAGAAACCAATATGGTTTGGACTTGTGCAGTCCCCATGAATCTGTGTAGAGTGTTTCTTGATTAATAATTGGTGAGTGAGGGACCAGCCCATTATCAATAGTGCAGACCATTGGGAGCAGAGCAGAACAAATCACCAAGTGCAAGCAACTAGCAGCATTCTTTCATGATCTCTGCCTCCACGTTTCTCCTGAGTTCCTACTTTGAGTTCTCTTCATGTTGGACAGTTATTGGAACAAGTAAGACAAACACGTTCTTTCCTTTCCAAGTGACTCTCAGTCACGTTATTTTACCACAGCAATGGAAAGCAAACTAAGATATATACTTCCAACACACATTATAAACCCAAATAACCCAGAATTCATATCAAACACAATCTGAACACAGCCATCACACTGTGTTTGCAATCCCAGGACTTTAGTGGCTCAAGAGGGAGCATCATGGATTCTATACCACATAGCCAAAAAAAAAAAAAAATGTTTTTGTAAAGGTCAAAGAAGTTCAGAAAACGGCAAAATAGGTTATTAAAAATTAAGTAAATAGAATATTATTGGAAAGAATATTGTTAGTATGCTCATAACTAAATGAACAGAGAATGTAAAAAGCTTGAAAGATAAAAACATCTCAACATAACTATGGTATTAAATGAATAATGGCTACAAAAATTCTATTTTTTCTTAAATTCCCCAAATCTTCCAAAACATATAGCATGCCTAAATTACTAGTGCTGAAGTAAATATATGTTATTCTCTGTAAGTTAAAAACTTCTAAATTTAAAATTTTTGAAAACAAAAACTCCTGAAAGTGTTTATCACATTAAACTACAAAGCCAGAAATCACCAAAGTATTTACTGAGAGAATGCAATTTAACAATGTGCTGAGGAATAAATTATAACCATATAGCCATGAATATCAATAATTTTGAAGTTTGCATAATCAGATAGAAATATATTTGATCCAAATATAAAATAGCTATTTATAGTTTCTGTTGAATGATTGTAATTATGGAAATAAATTCATGTGTGTGAACTGTAAGAAAAAGACTTGTCATTTCTAATTAAGTCTATGCTTGTGTGTCTTTGTTATGAATATATGCAATGAGTGCAGATGAATATGGAAGCCAGGATGTCAGAACCACTGGGAACTAGAGTTATAGGTAGTTGTGAATGACTCCATAATGTAGGTGTTGGGAACCAAACTCAGGTCCCCTCCAAGAGCATTGTGCACATTCAACCATGTAACTGTCCTTACAGCCCATAATTTTAAACTATGTGCAGAATGAGATGCTTTGCTCATTTGTTATTAAATACTAGAACACTGTATACATACTTTGAATTAAAGTTAACTTTAGGGCTGGCAAGATGTTTCAGGGGGAAAAGGTGCTTGAGGACAAGCCCAGAAGTCTCAGCTCATTCCCCAGGCTCCAGAGTGGGAAGATAGAACTGACTTTCAAAAGTTGTCAGACCTCAACGCATGCACTGTGGCAGACACACACACACACACACACACACACACACACACACACACACACACACTTTATGCACATAATAGTAAAAGTAAGTAATTTTTAAAAAGGCAATTTGAAAATAAATTGCCAAGTTTTCTTCCAATTATGCTTAGCACTTTGTCCATACACTTACTAGAGAATCAATTTTTAGGGCTTTTATGATTTATAAATATTATATATCCTTTTAACTTTGATAGTTTAATCACAAATTAATTCCTATTATTATCTTTTATTTTTTTTCCTATTTGGAAGTATTGAGCATCTGCCCTTCCTCATTCACCCTTCAGTATTCTATGAACAGACTCCCTTTTGTTAATTTAATTTTTAATTTGTTTCTGTGCAGTTTGCCTACATGTGTGTCTGTATGTTTGCATTTGTGTGTGTGTATGCATGTGTGAGTGCATTTGTATATATGTGTATGCACACATGCGGGAGTCAGAGACTATCTCCAGGGATTTTCCTAAACCGCTACCCACCTTATTCATTGAGGCAAGGGCTCTCAGTTTTTAAAATTCTCTTTTAAATGTAAAGGCTTTAAGGCTTAGTGCTATCTGTTGGTTCTTTGATCTTTGCTTGAGACATAAAAATTCATAGCTTCATTAATTTATAGTAATTTTGAATTAAGATATTTAATTTTTTTTATTTTTGCACACCATTTTAAAAGATTAAATTTTAGATAGTTTATTATTGGAAATGTTCAACTCCTCTTATGTGAAGCTTGAGATTCATATATTCTAATGAGAAATTCTTTACACTCATGATTAACTGTACTGGAATTAAAGCAGTTCTGCATATGAACTGAGACTCATAAGCAAGCCTGGTTTGTTGATTTATTTGTTTGTGTGCTTGTTTGATTTTTCAGGAATACAATGGACAACACAGCTTTCATGACTATGGAAGAGGAAAAACATTACAAACTCTAGGCCCTCTGCAAGGCATCTCCTTCTTCCCTCATGATGTGACTTGTATCCCTGCACAGAAAGCAGCTCTGTATGAAAGTTCTGGCAATTATTTGGTATTGTTGGATTAATGTGATGTTTATTAATGACTAATCCAAAAGGATTTTTAGTGAACTATTCAATAAAAAATCATGATAAAAGATGTAGATAAGAAATGTGGATATGGTTCTTATCTGCTCTTGAGACTTAGTTCCTGAGCTTTGGTTTTAGGCTCTGGACTTGACATTGAAGAATATATGGATTATATGACTAGTGCCAGAAAAATTGCTCACTAATAAGTTATTTCCCAGGAGGCCTTTCAACATTCTTTTGTTAGTTTTCAATTGAATTTTCTGCAATATATTTTATCACTTGAGTTTGGAGTCAGATTTTTACTTTTCAATCTTGTAAGATTTGTTTGTGATCTGACCATTACATATGTGGGGTGATGCTTGATTTCAGAAGGAAACTCTGAATTAAATGTGTCTCATCCCACTATTGTGAGAATGTCCATTTATGTCTGTCATTGGATGGATGTTTCTATCTGCCAGCTTAACCAAAATTTATTAATATTTGCCACCTTGAGATCCAAAAACGGGATTCTATTTGACTTAAATGTCAACAAAAGAAAGGAAAATCTTGGTTTAATGCAAAGATTCCAGTAGAATCTTGAAATTGTGAAGAAAAGAATACTTTTATTCACAAATAAAACAGGCTATCAAAAAACTATATTCATGTGCTTTATGAATTAAAGTGTTTCATTATTTTAAACATTCTGATTAATCATTGAGTTGGCAAAACTACTGTATTCCTGTTTTGGCAAGAATAGTGACACGGGGCTGGAGAGATGCTCAGTGGTTAAGAGCATTGCTTGCTCTTCCAAAGGTCCTGAGTTCAATTCCCAGCAACCACATGGTGGCTCACAACCATCTGTAATGAGGTCTGGTGCCCTCTTCTGGCCTGAAGGCATACATGTAGACAGACTATTGTATACATAGTAAATAAATAAATATTTTTTAAAAAAAGAATAGTGACACGGAGTTGGAGAAATGGCTTAGTGGTTAATGTGCCTTTTGCCAAATGTGATCACCTTATTTCAATTCTTGGAACCTACATGGTAGGAGATAACAAAGTTTTCCAGGTTGTCTTATGACCTCCACACATGATCTCTGGCATGAATTACTTCCACATACAACATGAAACAAATAAATAAAGTACTTTTACCAAAGAGCAGTGACAGAGGATGTGAAAAAGGAATAGTTTTATGATGATATGCCTCATCTTTGCAAGCAGTCATTCAGCTAAAATCATACTGAAGATATTTTTCTTTAGCTGCAGCGTGTGCATTGTTGGAGTTAAAAAGAGAAAGGTTGACTCTTTTTTCAAACAGCTTGTACCTTGTAAGCTACCATACTGACTAAAATGACTTTGGGGAAAATTACAATGGGAGTCTTGGAAGGAATCTAGGTATTCATTTTTCTCTCAGCTTTGTAACACTGTATTTTTAATCAAGACCAGATTAAATGATGATTATTTCACTAAGTCATTAATGGACTACAAGAGTCACTGAGCTTCAAGACTTTGACTAACTTTGAAATTAGGATAGGAGCTTCAGGAGAGAAAATATGAGAAAGTTTGAGGTTTGGGCCAAACACTAAAAGTCAAAATCTAGAAAAGAATCAAAATTGGCTGTAATACAAATCTAGAGTCAGATCCTGAAAGGAAGTTGTTATAAAAAGAAAATGATGAATGTCTGGTAACGAAAAAGAGCTCCAACTCAGACATGGGATGTTTCACTGGGTCACACATTTGCATGGCCTCCCCTGCGACATTCTGTAGAAGGAAAGTTGATTTTCACTTATTCTTTTGGCTGCATTTGTGTGTCTGTCTTCCAAGATCCATCTAAATATGACCTTAGGGTTAAGTGTAGCTGACTGGCCCAAACAGTTCACAACATTGGTATGGACGATACCTTCAACATCATGGGAAAAGATGAAGAACTCACTTATTCTGTAAATGAATGACTAGGACATGGAAACAACTACCTCATGAGTGTAGACTTTGAAGAGAGCCTGTGCTGGGAAAATTTCATTTTCAAAGTGTGATGGTGAGATAAAGTAGACTGTTAACTTCACCTAAGTCTTACTTCCTACCAAAGTCGGAACCCTGTATCCTCATCAAGCATCTTTATCCAACAACTTCTGCAAAAAAGCATGTGTGCTAGGAAGACACTTCAAAGCGAATGAAAACCATATCAGAACATTGTGTAGGACAAAAGGCTAAATTTTCTGGTTGAAAGAAGGAAATTGCGCAGACTCCTACTGCATAGATTAGACCAAGAGGTGAGTGACTAGACTCCCAGCTGGACAACCCACTCTCTAGGTCCTAGAGTTGCAGTCATTGAGCAGCAGATTCAAATCTGTACAGTTCTCCTATCCTTCATGGTATCAGGAGCCTTGAACATCAACACAGACTGTGGCTGTATCTCAGCCATGAACACAGACAGCTCAGACCAAAACATCATCATAGACTTTGGTGGCAATCAAGCCCCCTTCATTGGCCTATTCCTCACCACTGTCACCTCTCCAGTTATTCCTCTGTCCACAGGACACAAACAATTCTGTCTGCCTCTGTCTTTCCTAAAACACACCATACATTTGCTTATCATAATAGTGTCTGCCTACCTGGAGGTACAAGGCACCAGGTAGGTCAGAGTTTTCTCCTTCGAGTGTTCCAGGCCTGCATGTGGGTCTCCTTGTTGTGCTCAGTCGATAATGGTGTTGGGCAGGACGATGCTTCCTTCCTCCTTGGGGCCTGGATCAGACATCCTTGGGCATGTATGCAGATCTCCTTGTCCTGCTCGGTCCTTCATACCAGTTTTACTTTCTTGGTACCTGCTTCTGTTGCTCCTTACACATCTCTGCCTTTGCCCTTGGAATGACCTCAGTTGATCAGCTATGTGACCATCCTTCATCCCAAGGCTCCTGTAAGAGCTTCAGTGAGAGCCAGAGTGTGAAGGAGACAGACAGTGAAGGAAGAGGAGAATGAGCTCCACTGGCACTACCCTGGGGATTCATCATCATGCTGACTGCAGATCTTTGAGTATGGCTGCATTAAGTTTATGTTTCTGATCATAACAACTCACCTATTGCTCTATAAGTAAGAAGAATGAACACATTGCCTCCCCAGAGTAAATTTTGGTGCAATTGTAGCTGGATTTGCTTTTAGCACATTAGGAGGGATGTAGCTGATTTTTATGTCTCCACCAGAGAAGTAATTTTACAAACACGTTGACGTGTGTCCATTTCCTACATCTTAACAAGGAACACTGCTCAAATGACAATGGAAAAGCAATTCATACAACACCTCGAGTACACTAAAAAGTCTACAGAACCCAAAACATTATGTAAAACAGCTGGTCCTAAATAGAAACAGAGAGTGAAATTTATGTCCAAAAGTAGATTAGCAAAATGTGTAGATAATTCAACAGTTATGGTCCATGTTTTTATTTTAAGCAAATAAAAAAAAACACCTAAAATAAGTTGCACCTGTCTATCAGTAGTGAGCACTGTAATAAATTGCCAACTTTTAGCAGTTTTGCCCATTTTAAGATAAAATAAACTCTTCCTGATACATTGTGAGCATGATCTTCCTTAGTGCTGGGCTTGCTGTAGCAACAGTGTGTGACAAACATCCCACACACCAATCCATAAACAGATATTCTGCAAATGGATACAGGGGCAAAAGGTGATTAATTATGCCTGCTCTAACCTTTTCTTGAGAAAAACTTAATACACAGCTTAAAAACATAAAAGCAGCTTATTTGCATCTAAAATTAAATTGATTTAAAAACACACAGAATGTATTATCAAAGAGAAGTGATAGAAATAAGAGAATGACTAGACAGAACAGTATCGCTGCTGCAAACACCCCTCCCCGCACTTTCTCTAGCTCTATGACACAGGTCAGTTTTAAGTCCTGTGCTCTGCCAAGAAATTAATTGCAAATCTCTTGAGTGGCTAGATTATTGAAATGACTCTAATTAAGTATTAGAAGGCAAATGACACATGCAACATTTATTTCATTTAATTATCTTGTTCTGCTTTGAAAAATTTAAGTCTTAAATTACATCCAACCCATTAGGCTTCATGATGGTATTTTGAAACAAATTTGCTTCCTCCACCTGACTCCATCTTGTATTCTTCTATCACTAATAGATTATTCTCTTCTTTCAGGTCACATTAGCTTCCTTTCTTCATCGCCCTTTACCCACTAGCTGTCCCTTTTCTGTTCACATGTCCTACATTCTCCACCCCTGTGTATAAGTAGATAGATAGATAGATAGATAGATAGACAGACAGATAGATGATCCATATATAATACAAGATAAGAAGTATTTGATTTTTTTCTGAATCTTTGTTACCTTACTCAATATAAGACTTAAATAATTTAATTATCTTTAGGGGGATAAAATTCCATTGTGTATACTTGTCACATTTTCATTATCCATTCATCTGTTGATGGACAGCTAGGCGACTTCCATTCCCCTCCTATTAAGAACAGAGCAGGAGTAGACATGAGTACACAAGAATTTCTGTGCAAGGAGATAGGCTCTTTTAGCTATATGCTGACAAGTTGTATAACTAGGTTATATAATATTTCTATTTTTATTTTTTTGAGAAAATTCTTCCTGATTTCCACAATGTCAACAAGAGTTCACTCTCAGCACCAGTGAATAAAGGCTTCTTTATTTATTTTTTCTCATGAATATGCATATTATATATCATTGCCTCATTCTAAAAGAGAGAAAAAAAGTGGACTTAGTGGGTTATTAAAAACAAATATGAAGTTGAGGGGGGGATGGGAGATGAGCGACTATTGATTACTAATTGCTTAGTTTTAAGTGAGTCATCTTTGTCAGTCATTGCCAAGGCTTAGAAAGCACTGGAGGAGAGAACCAAATCTTAGAGCCAGAGGATATGAACGAGTGCTGTGAAACGCTGTCTTCTAGACATGACATGACCATTCCACCCATGAACTCAGAAAAGTTGTAGTTACGTACATAAAACTTTGATATGACCAAGTCATTCATTGCGACTCCACTGCCAGCTGAGGAATTGGTGGCAGTTAACAACTGCTGGGACTCATTTTCCTTCAGGAGTGTTGGTAAGTTGTCCAGGCTCCAATAAATAACTGCACATCCATGTTTGTGAAAATAACTCTAACTAAATACGATGGTTAATAACAAAAACAAATGGATATGAAAGTGTAAGTAGGGATTTGGGGAGAAAAGTTAAATTCTGGGAGAAGAAGGAGATGAGTAAGATAGGGGAAGGAGGCGAGAATTGGCGGAATCCATTATATGTGTATATAAAATTGTCAAAGAATAAAAATATTTTTAAGTGCACAAGAGCATATTCCAGCTTTTTAAAAAGCAATATAAAATTTAAGCTGATACTCAATGTTGTTCTTGTTCTTCCTCTCGAAATACTCAACCTCTTTGCTGTAACAAGGAAAAGACAGCAACAGACAGGAATAGAAAGTGGGGCATGCTTTAATTGGTCAGCACAAGCAAGATAAATGGACACTTCTCGGGTGACTCATGCATTTGGTCAGGACTGTTGAACGTGCTTTGCCATACTAGGAGAGGACTTGGGACTTGTTTGCTTTGACAAGGCTCACCCCTGAAAGATTGATGGTGCTTGCAGTGTTTTATTTTGGGGAACAAGCAGTCATAATTAAGTTTTATTTTCAGGTTTTTCTAACCTTAGCCTTCCAATCACTTAGGAAAGTACCCAAG